GCCCCTCCTCCTCAGCCCGCCTACTAGTCAATGATTGTAGGGTCAGATACCAGAAGGGGCTGTCTGAGTTTAGTGCACCAAGGGAGAGGGAGTGACGCAGGAGGCTAGGACCGGATACAGGAAGGAAGCGTCTGGGATTGACGTTGCATATAGGGAGGGGACTAAGCAAAGGGAACTCGTCCTCTGCCGTCCCACTCCCACGTGGCACCGCCCCTTGCCTCAGGAGCACATGCTCCGGCTATTTCCTTGCACCCAGCTTATCTCACATAGCACTGCCCACTGCCTCAGGGCTTCTCCGTATCCAGCCCATCCCAGTTCACCACAACTCCGCCTACCACAGCCCCTGCCTCAACTTCAAAATACCCAGATCTTACCCCAATCTTGCCACAACGCTCACCTGGCAGTAGCCAACATCAGACAGTCCTTCACACAAAGTCCTTTGCAAACCTTAAAATCTAACATAATTTTAGTTTTTATTATATTAACTATATTAGAAATTCTCCAGATGTCACATGCAAACTCCTATATATTTCATTATTTCACTATAAATTTAAGAAAAAATATCAGGAGAAATGCTATTTATTGCTCAATATATTTAAAAATTGCTGGACATTTCTCAGTGTACATATTCTATATGATTTTTAGGTTTTTAATTTGAATGAATGAAAAATTTAAGAAGTATTTACTAAGCATTTAATTGTGTACAAGCACTCTGATAAGCATTGAGGATACAAACACAAGCAAGTCAGACATTCCCTGCCTTCAGGGAGCTTACATTCCATTGGGAAAAGACAATCTATAAAGGCTAGCTAGAAAGAGGGGAGGGGAGGTTGTATGGTCAGGAAGGTGCATAGTTTGGACATGGTAAAGAAGTGGCATGATGGTCTAGTTCCAGGCAATATTAAGTGAAAGCTCATCTATCAGGGTCCAAGCTCCCAGAGGCAAAGTCTGAGTTCCAGTGGGATGAGGTTTTTACTGCATAATTTTTCCCTATCTTCTTTGCTTTAAACTGAAAAATAAAGTTTTATATGCTTTTTTTCTCCTTGAATTGTCCAGTAAATGATTCTTCATTTTAGTCTGTTAGTACAAAACATTTGAGAACCCTCATGTGAAAATGATGATTATTTTCAAAAGTATGTCCTACTTCATAGGATTTGAACCTAAACAAAAATAATCAACATGAGAAGGGCATTTTCAACCACACTCTTTTGTGGTATGTGCTATTTTACAGAAAACTCACAAAAGGCAGGTGCTCACATTGTAGTCAGAAGAAGTGAAAGAGGGACGCTCTCAAGATCTCTCTGAAGAACTTTGGGATCCATAGGGTGACATGGGAGACACTGGCAAAGACCACCCAGCACAGTGGGCCTTCATCAAAGGAGGTGCTTTATCAGCGAAGCAGAATTGCAGTAGCTCATAAGGAATGTGAGATGCGTAAATTTAGAGACATCTCCAAATGTTCATATGCACTATCTGTGCCCAATCTGTGGTAGGGCATTCCAAGCTCATATTGGTCTGATCATAGTCAAACATACTGTATTTTGACCCCAACATAGTGATGTAATTTTGGTCCTCTTTGAGAATGAAGGACAACAATCAACTATGGGAGACAATATGGTAGAAGGAGTAGAGCACAAGACTTGGAGTCAGGAAGACCTAGATTCCCTTCAAGTTGCACTTTTGTTGTGTTTTGTTTTGTTTTTTTAGGCAATTGAGGTTAAGTGACTTGCCCAGGGTCACCCAGCTAGTAAGTGTCAAGTGTTTAGTCTGAGGCCACATTTGAACTCAGGTCCTCCTAACTTCAGGGCCAGTGCTTTATCCACTGCGCCACCTAGCTGCCCCAAGTTGCACTTTTAACACATGCTAGATGTGACACTGGGCAAATCATTTAACCTCTCATAACCTCAGTTTCCCCATCTATAAAATGGGGATAATATCTCAAAGGGTTGTTGTGTGTATCAAATGAGAAAACATAAGTAAAGTGCTCTATAAACTTTAAAGTGCCGCATAAATGTTTGCTATTATTATTGCCTCCCCTGAAACAGAAGAGGTAGATTGAAGTAAATTATTTAATATCAATTTGAAAAAACCAAATAAAGGCTAAAAGTCCATCATTTATGTATGAAAGTCAGAATAACTTTAAATATATGTACATATATATACATACATACATATATATGTGTGTGTGTACATATATATATATATATACCCATTTTTAAAAGGGAAAGGAATGCTTCCTTCTGTCTATTTGGGACAGGGATTCTATGAAGATAGTTGCTTAAAAGCAATAAGCCAGGGGATTCTCTATAAGTAGTTCTTATTTCTCTTAACTAAGTCCTATTCTGATGCCTCATTGTAGTGTGGCCTTTACCTCAACTTCCTGATTCCTGGGGAGTGCAAGCACCAAGATGGAAAGATTTTGAGTGTTAGGCCCGACAACAGATTATATGGCTGCTGTATGAATCAGCAGTAGCCAGGTTAATCTTGGAGGAGTTCATTGCCAGAAGTTTGATGACATGACAATTTTTTTCTCCCAGGAATTCACAAAGACCAACTGTTCAGTGAAGGGGCTACAACCTACATAGATGGAGGGAGCACTATTCATATTGACCAACAGACCTATCTGTCTTACTCCTAGACTCTTTGTTTGAGCAATAATGATATCACGTTGATATCTGAAAGTATTTAAGTACATAAAAAGCCCCCCCCACACACACATACATACACACATACACATACACATACACAGACTTGATCTGGACCCATGTGGTACAGCAAAACAGTCCTGGTCTCCGAATCAGGAAGAGCTGCATTCACATTCTGCCTCTGCTACAGACTAGCTGCGTGATCACTGGTAAATCACTTAACCTCTTAGCCCCAAAACCTCTCAGAGACTATAAACAGGGGTGGGGAACCTGTGGCCTCAAGGCCCTCAAGTGTGGGCCCTTTGACTGAATCCAAACTTCACAGAACAAATCCCCTTAATAATGGACCCAAAAAGTTTATACCCATGGACCAAGAAGGCCATATATGGCCTCCAAGGCACAGGTTCCCCTCTACCCCCGCGTATAACAGATGCCCACATGTTAAAAATTAGTTGCTCAGCTTAATGAATATTAATATGTTGTTATTGTTGTTCAGTTGTTTTTCAGTCATGTCCAATTTTCATGACCCCATTTGGGGTTCTCTTGGCAAAGATACTGGAATGGTTTGCCATTTTCTTCTCCAGCTTATCTTATAGATGAGGGAACTGAAGCAAACAGGGTTCAGTGACTTGTCCAGGGCTACATAGCTAGTAAGTGTCTGAAGCCAGGTTTGAACTCAGGAAGATGAGTTTTCCTGACTCCAGCCCCAGCATTGTGTACTATGGCGCCACCTAGCTGCCCCATTAATATGAATGGTCCACATGATGAAATCACAAAAACCAATGGAAAGCAATCTAGACCCATCCCCAGATGAATAGACTATCTGCCATTTTATTATTTTGCTTTACCAACATGAGTTATCAAGTGCCAACTACAATTTATTATTTATTTGGAGGTAATATTCACATTTCCCAGAGTAGAAATGAGCTGCCTGGAATGCTCTCTTTCCTCACTTCTACCAACTAGAAACCCTAGTTTCATTCAAGTGTCCCTTCCTACAAGTCCTTTCTTAAGCCACCCAATTATTGGCATGCTGAACTTACTCTGTATACACAGGGTGTCTCAGAAAGCTTAAACTTGCCTTAAGACTTTTGAGACACCCTGTATATTGCCCATTTCTCTGTGTACGTGTCTTTCCCCCAAGGAATATGGAAGTTCTTTGACTATAAGGGCTGTTTAATTGTTAACTTTGTATCTTCAAAGCCCAACACAGCGAGTGGCACACAGAAGGTATTTAATAAATGCTTGTTTAATTGAATTCAAAGTATCTTAGGCCACATTATCCCATAGAAAATATTCACTTGGTATTAAAATGAATTCTCTTAAATGGTCAAAGGATATGAACAAGCAGTTTTCAGATAAAGAAATTAAAGCTATCTATAGTCATATGAAAAAAATGCCCTAAATCACTATTGATTAGAGAAATGCAAATCAAAGCAACTCTGAGGTACCACATCACACCTATCAGATTGGCCAACATGACAAAACAGGACAATGATACATGCTGGAGAAGATGTGGGAAAATTGGAACACTAATGCATTGTCAGTGGAGTTGTGAAATGATCCAGTCATTCTGGACAGCAATTTGGAACTATGCCCCAAAGGGCTATAAAAATGTGCATACCCTTTGACCTAGCAATAGCACTTCTATGGCTGTATCCCAAAGAGATCATAAAAACGGGAAAAGGACCCACATGTAAAAAAATATTTATAGCAGCTTTTTTTGTGGTGGCAAAGAACTGGGGATTGAAGGGATGACCATCAATTGGGGAATGATTGAACAAGTTGTGGTATATGAAAGTAATGGAATACTATTATGCCATAAAAAATGATGAGCAGGCAGACTTCAGAAAAACCCAGAAAGACTTATATGGACTGATGCTGAGTGAAGTGAGCAGAACCAGGAGAACATTGTACACAGTAACGGCCATATTGTGTAATGACTAACTTTGGTAGATTTAGTTCTTCTCAACAATGCAAAGATTTAAAACATCTCTAAAAGTCTCATGATAGAAAATGCTATCCACATCTAAAGAAAGGACTATGGAGTTGGAATGCAAATCAAAGCAAATTATTTGCCCTTTCTTTTTTTCTGTTTCATTTTGTTTCGTCTTTCTTGTGGTTCCTCCTATTGGTTGTGATTCTTCCTTACAACATGACTAACGTGAAAATATGTTTAATAGGTTGTAGAGCCTATATCAGATTGCACACCGTCTTGGAGAGGGAGGCAGGTAAGGAGGGGAAGAAAAAATAAAAACTCAAAAGCTTATGGAAGTGATTGTTGAAAACTAAAAATAAATTAATTAATAAAAAATTTAATTTAATTTAAAAAGTTAATTCTTTTATAAACTTTGCCAGGGTCAGTAATTATTTTTTGGTGGTGCATATAATTGCTAGGATCACTAGGAATCCTGAATTTGGCCTGAAGCTCAAAGTCACTCAGGTCAGCATGAGAGATCTGTGCATAACTCAACCTAGAGTAGAAGCATACATGTTTTAGAGATCTACTAAAGATTTTGCCAGATTACAAATAACTGACATCTAATTTTGATCAATACTCTCCATGTTATTGTTTCATGTTTCTGATTCTTCAATCACTGAATATCTCAGCTAGAACTGGTCTAATTTATCACTTATGGTATTTATCAAAAAATTCACTTTTGTGATATAAATGAATAAGTACCATGCACACAGATTTCATAACCTAATACATTTGGCAGGCCTCCTTTCCTTATTTATTTTAATTCATTTTTAGTACTGAAATCATATGTAGCATAGACAAATTACCTCCCACACAATTATATTTCTGGTCCAAAACAGGAATTCTTCAGATTCACAACACTGAGTAAAATTCAGTGCCCTTAGAACTCTTGAAGACTATATGTTGCAGAGCAGGAACTGATTTACATTTGTAGTGGGAGTTTCCTCCCCATGGAACTCTGTATATCAATTAAATAACAGATAGAGTTAAAAAAATGGAAATATAAATCTCATGTCCATATTTTCAACTCCATATCAAAGGTTTTACATGTTTGAAAAGTCCAATGTTGTATTTTCCCCTCCAAATATTACCCTTTCACCATGAAATTAGTTGATTCATATTTTTTTCTGTGGTATAAGGCACTACAGAATAGATAGTCCTAAAAGGATCTGCTTCATCAAAGCCTCCAATTATTTGAATCTCTTTAACATTATCTTTAGAAGGAGAATGATATTTTTGGGTGACCACGGCTAAAACCTGTCTACATGCTAATAAAAGGAAGTAAGTTGGTCCAAAAGGGTGTTAATAACCTTTACCACTCAGTACCATTATAGTAGACATAGAATCATATCTGGTTTTTGCTAGTACTTCAGCAGAGTGAATTTTCTAAGTTCCTTCCAAGTCTAAATCCTATGATCCTCTTCATAAGTAAAAACCAAAGCACATCAGAAAAGAATTATGTCTTAATAAAAAGAGTTTAATAAATAAGAAGACAACTGAGTGAGAAATTATGGTAATCTTTGTCTGTTGAATATATCCACTACTGAAATCTAGTTGTTCAGCTCATGAAGCCGTAATCACTCTTCAGCTGATATACATGCATACTCTATTCACAGGCAAAGTAAATATTCAACCTCTTCAGTTCTGAGCTGAAAACTGTAAACTATAAAATGGTGACAAAAACATCAAAGTCATCCATTGAGAAATAACAATGAGAAACCAAAAAAATCTGGAATTCTTTTTTTGCATTCCTAATCAAGTGAAGAAAGTAGACATATGGGGTATTAAATAAATGCTGTATTTTTTTTTAAAAAAAGATAAATTTATGTAGCAAAATTTAAAGAGAAAAACCTAGTTATAACTTGGTAGTTTTTCCACTGGTCCTGAACTATTAATTAGTTGTTATTCAGATCCTCCTCTTGTGAAGTGACATAATTAGAATATTCCTATGTAACTCACCCCGCACATTTTTTAAGCAGAAAAAAGCATTTTATTTATATAAAAAAGCTCCGTAAGATCTATAAAAGATGAGAATATTATACTGCCTACACCAAAAAAAATCAATAGCAACCAAATTAAAAGTTACATAACTTCCTACTTAGTAGTGCAATTAGTTCATATTATAATAAAATTAAGTCAAGTATATAACAAAATCAAAACAAGTAGTTTCTTCATTATTGGCATACTGGGAATTACAGACAAAAAATCATTTTAGGTTTTAAGAAATCTGCCTCCAGTCTACTGAATAATCTAAGTAACAGATAGAGGGAGGGAGTTTATTCATTTCATTACTAGCAGTTATATTTTGTCAACACTATACACTGGGATGAAAGTCTAATGAGTTGATTTACCTGGTAAATGCATTTATTCCATTCAGCAAAAAAATACAAATTATAAATGTAACAAGGCTTTGACACGTGTCTAGATCACCTAATATGTGGTAAAGTACCAAAGCCCCCATTAGGTAAAGTGAGCTAATAAAAAATGAATTCTGAACACAGATTTATAAAACTGATAACTTAAGAAAAATGCACATTTAGTATCTCATGTTAAAAATCTAGTCTCAGCAAAAAAAAAAAATTGGTTGCTTTACAATTGCACCTTAGGCTAGAGATGCAGATGTCCAAATGTCTTTAAAAATCATAATGTATGTCTCGTGCAAAGTACACAAAAAAGATAAATATTCTCATCACAGTCCTAAGCTTATTTTTGGAAGGTTGTATGTTCTTATTCCAGTGACTTAAAATAGGTAAAATTCAAATGGCTTCAGGAGACACTGACACAGTAAATAGCATTTTATTTCCTTCTAATATTGCAACAACCTAGAATTTATGTTTGCTGTATGTGAAAAAAAATCTTCAAATTTACATGGCATATGTCTGAGTCCATTCTCTTAAATGTCTGTTGTATTTTTCCTTGCCTGAATTACAGACTGGTGCAATACCTAGTACTATTGGATCATCTGGATTAGGATCACAAAGTAGAGAATGTATGGATAAATCCCCAGAGCCAGTCTAGGGTTTGTATGAACTTTTGATGATAAGGTGGATTAAAGCTTCAAAACCAATCAGTCAGTCAATAGACATTTATTGAACACCTACTATGTGCCGGGCACTGTGCTTAGAGAGAGACTACATGAAAACAGCTACGTGCAAACAAGATATATAGGATAAATTGGAGATAATTAACAGAGGGAATTCAAAGAAAAACTGTCAAAGGTTATAAACGAGCAGATTTTTTTGTTTGTTTAGATGAGGACCAAGTGATCTTTAAAAAAAAAGACTGTCTTTTGCCTTTCTTTGTATCCCTAGGGCTTACAAGTCAACCAATTTTTTCAAAATCATAGATCTTGGAAATGGAAGGAACAATAAGATATGATTTAGTACTTACTGTCCCCAACTAGAAGTACAATGAATAGAATGGGTGGGCCTGGAGGCAGGATGACTTGAGTTTAAATCTAGTCTCAGATAGTGCCTAGCTACGTCATCCTGGGCAAATCACTTAACCTCTATCTACCTCAGTTTCCTCAACTACAAAATGGGGATCATAATAGCACCTACCTCCCAGGGTTGTGGGGAACAAATGAGATGATATTTGCAAAACGCTTAGCATAGTACCTAGCACATAGTAGTCACTTAATAAATACTTGTTCCTTCCACTCTCCTTACTATCAGTTATTATTATTTCTTATTATTCAATCAAAGGAGCTATGGCCTTAATATGGGCAATCATTGGCTCAAGGTCATGGTTCTCAAGTTTGGAAGGGAGAAGGGAAGATCCAGGTCATATGAGCCCAAACAAGTCTTCTTGTTATAGGAAGAAGCATGATAGGATGGAAAGAAAAGTGAATTTCTAGTTTTAAGGCTTGGATTTTAACCCCAGATCTGCTGCTTACTACCTGTGTAACCTCTGGCAAGTGACTTCACCTCTATGGGCCTTGATTTCATCATAAATAAAATGAGGATTATACTAGAGAATTTCTAAGGTCCCTTTAATCGCACAGAATCTCATGATTCTGTGATCCTATGATACACAGAAAAGCCCTGCAGACTACAGACAGCTCTCCCTCCAGGAGGAAAGCCCATTAAGGCAATGCCACTTGGCTCAGTAGGTCAATCTCATTCTTGGCATCCTCATTGCCCTTAAATAAATCATGATGTGCATGAAAAATCTTAGCATCACCTGCCAAATTGATGTTTTCTAAACTCAGAAAAATGAAGGAAGGGATTCAACAAAGCCCTTCTTTCTAGAAGAGACTAGAGGGCTTATTTACATCTCAAAAGGTTATGGTGGGAATAGATTGAAAACCATTCCCACTTCTGTACTCACCTTATTAGCCCACGATATATGATACATTCACACCATCTGTCAGGATCTGTGCTGTCAATGTCCTAATCAACAGCAGGTGGCCAGGTTCAGGGAGGGGGGAGGAAAGGGAGATGGGAAAAATGATTTTATCTTAAGCAAAAGAAAGGAAAAATGTCTAAGGTCCTAAATTAGCAGTGAACTGCTTGAATAAGAACAAAGTCATAAATATTCACACTTCAAGGACAATATTAAGCCTTTCCTAAATTTGGAAAGCCTGAGATCAGGGTTATGTCTCACTGGGGAAGCAAAAGAAAAGAATATTTTCTTCATAGGGACTTAGGGAAACTCTGAAAGCATGGTTATTATACTCAACATACTTTTCAAAAATATTGTTTCTATAAACATAAATATGCCCGACTTTAACTTGTCCATGAAGACCGTGGCTGAATTGGGTTCTAAAATATTTTTACTAAAAAGGCTGTCCGTCCTATTGAAACTCAAAACTAGAAATACTTTTTAAACATCATTTAAAAAAAGTTTTCAGTGCTCCCATTTGTCTTGAAAGGCAGTTTTTAAAAAATTAATAATTTGCTTGTCTATATTGGGTATAATAAATCTAATGATCATAACTGCATTGTCCCATTTTATTGGGTTTTAAGAGATACTGTTAAATTTTAAGATCTCAGAATTTAAACCCTTGTCTCATAAAAAGATAACCATCATATAAACGTGGTCATTGAGGTTTTATTTTTGTGACCAAAATTCTTCTCTGCATCACTCAATTTCTTAACCAAAAAAAAAAAAAAAACAACAATGGGGTAAGGAGTTGTCACTTCTAAAGATCTGAGCTTCAGATGGTCATGGTAGAGGTCAATGGAAGGAGTAAATATAAATCAAGTTCTTTTAGATAACCCATCCTTCCTTCTCTCTTCCACACATTCACGCAAACACAGCACACTTGAACCAACCAATAGACTACTTTCTACACAATGCCGTCCCCATTATTTCTGATGCATTTGTCCCTTGGGTCTGCCAAATGTCTTTTCTTCCTTTTGTCTCCTGTCCCTTTAGGCTTTACCCTACATGCTCAATGTGTCGTCTGTGCATTGTGAGTCTGAGAAATGAATGAAGGGATCACGAAAATGTAATATTAGTTTTCTTAAGTGAGGCTAGCCCCGAGTCAATGAAGAGACAACAGAATCACAGAAATAGAAGAGAACTTTAGAGTTCACCTAATTTGGTTTTTGTTCATTTGTGTGGGGTTTTTTTCCTCCTTTTGGAGAAATAAAAAATTTAAATCATTTGCTTTTTAAGTTAGGAATCTTTCCTCTCCTTCGCCATCTACATCCATTGGTAATTCTTTCCTTCTTTTTCAATCATCTTTTTGTTTTCTGCATTTCTCTCACCCCACCCCAACCCCTAATCGAGAACCTTATGATCTGATGCCCGGAGGTCACTTCTCTTCTCTGGTCTTTAATTTTCACATCAGGAAATTAGTGGGTTAGACTGGATGATCTCCAAGGTCCGCTTTATATCTGATATCCGCTACTATCATCAGGGCTTCCAATGTGGTCTGCTTCCTCTTTGTCTCTGTCTCTAATCTAGGGTTCAGAACTAATCTTCCCCAAACGCCATTTTCATCTTGTCACAATTCTTCCCTATTATTTAAAAGACAAACCTCTTAGCCTGACATTCAAGGCCCTTCACAATTTGGATCTAACCTATTTTTGCAGTTCTAACTCTATCATCCACTACTTCCCTACTAAAACTCTCTGCTTCAGTCAGACTGGTCAACTTACTGTTTCCTAAATACAACCTGTGCACTCCTACCTCCGTGCTTCCCCCATCTTGTCTTTCCTCTTACTATCAAGGTTACCACTATTCTCCAGTCATTCAGGCTCAAAACTTAGATATCATCCTCAACTCCTCACCCTCACCCCTCATATCCAACAGTTGTCAAGTACTGTCAATTTACCTTTATAACACGTCTTGCCTACAGCCAATTCTCTCCCTGGATGCTGTTACCATTCTGTTGCAGGCTACCACTTCATGCGTAGACTTTTTACAATAGCCTGCTGGTTGGTCTCTCCATCTCGTCTCTCTCCACTCCAATCCATCCTCCACTCAACTGTCAAAATGATCTTTCTAAAGTGCAATCTATCAACCCCTATTCAATAAATTCCACTGTTTCCATATTACCTCCAAGATCAAATATAAAATTCTCTGTTTGGCTTTTATAGCCTTTATAAACCTGGCTCCTTTCTGTCTTTCCAGTCTTCTGTCTTACTCCTCTCTGAAATCCAATTACATGAGTCTCCTTGCCTTTTCTTGTACTATGCACTCCAGTGCCTTACTCTAACCATTTTCACTGGCTATCCTCTGTGCCTCGAATTCTCCCCCTCCTCATCTCTGCCTTTTCACTTTCCTGGCTGTTTTCGAGTCTCACGTCCTATTTTCTGCAAGAAGCCTTTTCCAGTCCTTTTTAATCTTAGTGCCTTCCCTCTGGGATCATCTCCAATTTATCCCCATTAGATTGTGAGCTCCTTGAGGGCAGGGACTGATTTTTGCCTTTGTTTGTATCCCCAGTGCTTAGCACAGTGCCTGGCACATAGTAGGTACTTGATAAATGCCAGGTGGCTGAATGGCTACCTATGTCCCTCTTCTTGTCCAGAATGTCATTTTTCTACTATCCCTTTAATTATAATAGTAGAATTTTTATAAAGTTTTAGAGTTTTCAAACAACAAATAATGACCTTATCAGGCAGTAGTGATATCATCCCTGTTTTCAGATAGGGAAATGGAGACCCTAAATTAAACTTAACCTCCATTGTCACACAACTAACAAGCATAAGAGAAGGAGCTCGAACCCAGGTCATCTGACTCCAAAAGTAGGATACCTCTGTGTTAGGAGATCTGGGCATACACAAAGGAAGCTCCCATTGCATTAGTTGACTTTCTTTGTGTTTAAGTGTTCTCTCCCCAGTCAAATAGTAAATATTTGGGGAGCAAGGACACTGTGGGCCTCTTTGGACCCCTTCAATATCTGGCACTATATTCACGGCAGCAGCATACATTTATTCATCGATGGAGCAATCAGTCAAAGTATTAACAAGCATTTATTAAGCGTCTACTATTGCCAGGAAACCAGTTAAGCATTGGTTATGGATATTACATCTTAGTATTTTCCCCACAGGCCCAATGAGTTAAGGGCCAGAAGTAGACTGTGAGAAATAGGTTTCCCAGATCCTATTTAGAGAGCTACTATTAATTATCCCTGTAGGGGTATGTGTGAGTGTGTATGTATGTGTGTGTCTATGTGTGTGTATGTGTGTGTGTGTCTTTGCTTTTGAGGAGAAAAACAGAACACGAGGGGCCTGGAAATAGACATGCCTCATATGGCTCCAATACATTACATTACTAAACTTTTGCAAAAGCTGAAATAGAAGGGCCTTATTTTGCTGTCTTTCCCAAAGCAGTCTGAATTCATGGCATTAATATATGGATGTTTTGTGTTTTCCTACTGCTTTTTTTTTTATACAAGATTGAGATAAGGGGACAGATGGAGTATTGTTTGGAGTTTTTGTTGCTTTCTTAAGGAAATCTGGGTATAAAAGGTGACAGTAGAGAGAGCACTGGAACTAGAGGCAAAAAGACTTGAATTCAAATCCTGCCCTAGACACTTATTAGCTGTGTAACCCTAGCGAGTCCCTTAACCTTTCAAAACCTGTTTGCTTATCTGTAAAATGGGGATAATGATACCACCTAACTCAGAGGGTTGTTGTGAAGACTAAATAAGATTGCATATTTAAAACACGATTTCATTTGCGCTCCCTCTTGCAAAAAAACTTCTCTAGAGAAGAAAAAATACAAGAAATAGGGACCAACTTGTACTCTCTGGGTATGAGGTGCCTAGGAGGAAAGCCAAGACTTAGAGAAGGCCATTCCTTTGGACTGAAGCAGTTTTTAGGGTGCAGAGACAAGATGAATGGGGAAATTACATGAGCAAATAATAAGAATAGCTAGCATTTAAGTAGCACCTTAAAGTTCACAAAGTGCTTTAAATATGTAATCTGATTAGCCAGAGAGAAAGAAACACTTGTGCTGGCAATTCCAATTTTATCTTTGTGAGTTCATTAGCATCGACTGTCTTCCTTTCCTTTTTTTTTTTTTTTTTAGCAGTGAAAGGGGTAGAAAAGAATATGTGACTATATATAGAATATAAATATATGGAATTGAGAATCATGGGTTAAAATGCCTATATCAAGGTCATTATGTTGTATAAGAAGAGTAGGATTATTTACAGGACTGGGTCCTATGTCAGTTTGTGATAGAAAGAATCTTGAATTCAAATCTAAACTGATATCACATTTTTAACATGGAAAAGAAACTTTCCACTTAATAAATCACAGAGAGTGCTACTTGCACATTGCCATGCTGAATGAGCTGTTGATAGTCTCTGGAGCCAGGGGCCAGTGAAGTGATATAGCCCCAAAATATCACTTGATAGCTAGACTTCAGCAAATTTGAAATAGCAAGTGCCTGGGGCTTGCTGTCCAAGTCATCCCTGAAAAATGCAGAGAGCAGAGGGGGGAGTGTTTGGGAGGGCTGGGGGGCAGGGAGAGGGAGGGAGAGAGAGAGAAAAACAGAGATAGAGAAATCTGTTTGTCATCTCACAGATTCAGTCAGTTACCTAATCTTATCATTTCTATCTCTACAATTTCCCTCCTCGCATCTATCCCCTTGTCTCCACTCACAGGACCACCACCCAAGATCAGACCCTCATCACCTCTCACCTGTACTACTGCAGTGGTCTCTTAACTGTCTGCCTCAAGTCTCTCTCTCTCTCCAATATGGCTTTCATTCAAGTATCTGAGTAATTTTTCTGTAGTGTAGATTGAACTCCAAAGGCCTCCTCTTGTCTCTAGAATCAAATATAAGCACCAATATTTAGCTTTTAAATCCTACTTGGCCCCAACTTACCTTCCCAGTAGTATGACATATGACTCTCCTCCCTACATTCTACGATTCAGCCAAACTGGATTTTTTTTCTATTCCTCACACTCAACATGCCATTTTCCATCTTCTCATTTCTGCGCTGAGGGTCCTCCCATGCCCAGAATGCAGTCCCTCCTCACCTTTTCTGCTTAGAATTCCTTGTTTCCTACAAACTGGGCTCAAGTAACACCATCTACATGAAGTTTTCCCTGATCCCCTCAGGTGCTTGTTTTCTTTCCCCCAGAAAATTTACTTTGTATTTATTTTAAACAGATATTACATATTTATTTATGAAACTATCCATTTTGTATATATCTTATATGTACACTTTTTCTCCCCAATAGAATGCAAACTCCTTGAGGGCAGGGACAGGTTCACTTTTGCCTTTGTCTTCCCAGTGCCTAACATAATGCCAGGCACATAGTAGCTGATTAATAAATACTTGCTGCTTTATTGAGGATTAATTGACTAGTGTATACAGAACATTGGGCTAGACTCTGAGGACACAAAAGTGTTTAAGACATGCCTTAAAGAAGCTTACAGTCAGAATATACACCCAATAAGACAATTTATAGTATATATTAACATATGTTAACAGCTAAATGAGGTATATAGACATTAAGGTATATCTTCTCCCAGAAGATCACAAGATAATTGAGAGATGTCTATAAGACATGAGATGGGCATTTGAACAAAAGTTGGACCTAGAAAATCATGAATTGACGATTTCAAATGTTTAGAGGACATCATTAGAAACAGCAAAATAATAATAATAATTATTATAGCTAAATTTTATATTGTGCCAGGAACTTTATTATTATCTCTATTTTACAGATGAGGAAACTGAGGGAAACAAAGGTTAAGTGACTTGCCGAGGGTCACATAGCTAGTAAATTTCTGAGATTGAATTTGAACTCAGGTTTTCCAGATTCCAGGCTCATCACTCTATACACTGTGCTACCCAGCTGTCCCAAAAGGGGAGAAAATCTTCAGTGGAAGACATTGATAGAATCATCTGATCCAAGTTCATTGATGTAATGGTGGGGAGGGAGGTATCAAGCAGGTGGGCTTGCTTGTGGTCATGCTCATGCTCAACTGATGCAATCCCCTGTACCCACATGGACTTTGGAGCATGCATAGACATTCTGTAACTGGTTCTGGTCCACCTATAACTATGCGATGAAGAGGATCTTTGTGATTGGTCATAAAACTGGAACAGGGGTACTTTCAAAATGTTCTAGCTTGATCTGTTTCTTTTGGCTGGTTGAAATTTAAGCAAGGAAGACAAGGGGTCTCCAGGTTGGAGAGAGACGACTGGCCCTCTCTCACTAAAAGCCAACAGGAAGCCAACAGCATATGGCCCTTCTGATGTTTCTGTTTCTGTTCTGTCTCTACTTACCTGTGTTCAGATGAAGGAGATTGGAGAAAGCTATGGCCTTGTGAGCTTCTAAAGATAAGTAGGCTGAGCAACTGCAGTCTGAGAGCCAGAGTCCATGACAGGATTTTCTGAGAGCCAGATGGTAAGGAATAAAGCATCCAGTAATCTGCCCCAGTCCAGCAGTAGCAGAGATTTGAACTTCTCCATCCATTGGCTTGCTGCATTTAGGAGTAAACTCTATAGGAAGAAGTCTATGTGGAAACTGCTGAGTCTGAGCTCACTCTCCCAAAGAACCAAACTATTATAAGAGAGATATTGCCCCCAGGTATTGGGGAAAATATTTGTAACTTCTATTCTTGCTATATCTGCCTGGTAAATAGCCTTTCGTAAAAGCTAATTGATGTTAGTTGGTTAAGAACTGGGAAGCGATTCACTCACAGGTAACAGTGAGAAAAATGCACCAGAATTGGGACTTTAGCCAGTAATATTAAAGACATCCCACGGCTTCTGGGGGTGCCCCTAGAATCCCCAAAGGTGATATGGCAGGCCTTATCCTAGGAGAGTGAGTCTGGAGACTCAAAACACTGAAAAATAACCTTTTGATAGCTTTCTATATTTTTATTACAGATAAACCTGAAATAGTCAAGTAACTCAATAAGCATGATCAGTTGTATCTTTTATATATGATGATGATTAACTGCTGGTCTAAATTAATTAGGTAATATAAAACCAACTGTGCTAATGATGTTTACTAAAAGTATTTGCCTAAAAAATTACAATTTTCTATTCTATATTAAGTAATCCTTTGTACAAAAGGGCTACAATTAAACTCTTGTTGAACCAGCTAATGCAGAATTTCATTATCCATTCCTAATGTGATTTTATATTTGTATATTACAGTGGCCTAAAGATGAAATCTTTAAATATTTATACAGAACAAAGACCTTTATCAAGTGTTGCCACAAAGAAACAAAAACATGTCATTACAAAGTATTATATAAAAACAGTCCTACACAATGCCCCTTCTCCCCCCCACCCAATACCTGCTCAGCCTGGAAAAGTTAATGTCTCCCTAAGCACCTAACTTGCTGCATTACCTATGCACTAACTCGGACAGACTTTACTTACAGGCAGATTTTATAGATTTTGCTATTTCTGAGTTATCTAATGAAAATTTTGTTTCTCCTCTACTCCAGTATATGATTTCTGTAGCCAAGATCCCAAGTTAGCAGAACCAGGAAAGAAGGTAGTCTCCTATTTGTTTAAAAAACAAATAAACTCTGAAGTTTCCTTCCTACTCCCAAGTCAACACAGAAATATTCCCATAACCCACATGTACAAAAATATTTATAGCAGCTCTTTTTTGTGGTAGCAAAGAATTGGAAACTTAGGGGATTCCCATCAGTTGGGGAATGGCTGAACAAGTTGTGGTATACGATTGTGATGGAACACTATTGTGCTATAAGAAATGATGAGCATGCAGACTTCAGAAAAATCTGGAAAGACATATATGAACAGATGCTGAGTGAAGTGAGCAGAACCAGGAGACCATTGTACGTAGTAACAGCTACATTGTGCGATGGCCAACTTTGATAAACTTATCTCTTCTTAGCAATGCAAGGATATAAGACAACTACAGAAGACTCATGATGGAAAATGCTGTCCACATCCAGAAAAAGAACTATGGAATCTGAATGCATATTGAAGCATATTATTTGTTCTCTCTTTTTTTCACCCTTTTTTTATTTCTTTCTTCTTTCCCATGGTTTCTCCCATTGGCTCTAGTTCTTTTTTTATTGTTGTTGCTTTTTGATGAGGCGATTGGGATTAAGTGACTTGCCCAGGGTCACACAGCTAGTAAATGTTAAGTATATGATGCTGGATTTGAACTCAGGTCCTTCTGACTCCAAGACCAGAGCTTTATTCACTGCGCCACCTAGCTGCCCCCTCTGGTTCTTTTTTACAATATGACTAATGTGAAAATAGGTTTAATATGAACATATGTGTAGAATCTATATCAACTTACACACCATCTTGGGGTAGGGAGAGGAGAGAGATGGGGAGAAATTTTGGAACTCAAAATCTTATGTAGGTGAATGCTAAAAACTAAAAATAAACACATTAATTAAAAAAATTACTCCATACTGCATAACCTTATACTGGGTTTTAGATGTCATTGGATGTGATAAATAAGATACCAAAGGAGATAAGATAGATGATTTTCCCCATAACATAATTTTAAAATGCATCCCACTAGATTATTGTTTTATGACTAGCAATAAATTTCATGTGTTAAGTACTTGGAAAAAAAATACTTCCATAATCACAACATCAAAGGAGGATGAGGGTCCTTCTTTCCTCTCTTCCACAAATTCAAAGCTCCCCAGAAGCTCAAAAGAATGGAGGTGGAATAAAGAAAACAACAAAAGAAAAGAAGATGAAAAAAGAGAGACAGCTTAAAGAGATTCTCCTCAAAACTTTAACGATGAAAAATTGTTAGTGAAGCCTTAAAATACTCATACACTAATTTTTTGTTACTGTTATGTTGTTGTTGTTGTTTAAGCTAATGGGGGGGATTAAATTAATTTAATTTTTTTTGTTACATTTTAAGTTCTAAATTGTCTCCTTCCCTCATTCCCCACTGTGCGCTAGAGAAGGCCACTGTTTGACACAGATTTATAAATATATATAAATCCATACAATGTGTACTTCCATTTATCAGTCCTTTCTCTGGAGGTGGATAGCATCTTCCTTCATAAATCCTTTATAGTTGATTTGAGTACTTATAATACTCAAAATAACTTGGCTATTCACAATTATTCTTCAAACAATGTTGTTGTTACTGTATATAATATTCTCTTGGTTCTGCTCACTTCATTTTTCATTATTTCACACGTCTTTCCATGTTTTGCTAAAATCAACCAGCTCATCATTTCTTACAGTAGTAGTCTAACACAGTCACATACCACAACTTGTTTAGCCATTCCCCAATTGATGGGCATCCCTTCAATTTCCAGTTCTTTGCCATCACAAAGACAGCTGCTATAAATATTTTATAACATATAGGTTCTTCTCCTTTTTCCCTGATCACCTTGGGAAACAAACCTAATAGTGGTATTACTGGTTCGAAGGGTATACACAATTTTATAACTCTCTGGGCATAATTCCAAATTACTCTCCAAAATGGTTGA